CGTTTAAGGCAGACAGACAGGTACTTATATGTGTTATTAGTTTTTTTTGTGATTAAATGGGATGAACAACAAAACACAGACATCTTTTAGGCTATAATCTCACTCATTTTCACTTATCGTATGGCAACACTGAGACGATTAAATTGTTTTATTTATTCATATATTTTTATTGATTCATTTTGTTCTACATACAACTAAAGTATCCTTCGATAGATTGCACTGTGTGAGAAATTTTATTAAACATAGATAGAATTGTAAAGATATATATATATATATAAAAGAGATTATTTATCAAGCACTGGATGGGATGTATTTTTCGTTAATTCTTCATAAAAACGTCTCTTTTTTTATATTAACATTTTCTCGTTTTTGATCACTCGTATAAGCGGAAGGAATCGCGAAGGGACGCTCTCTGAAGAATCATAAATAAGCTCAAGACAGCGTAATAAGGGTTCAGATTCCTTCTCTGTGGGATCATAGCCTTTATCATAAGTAAGAGAACATCGACTACTCATATAGGTTTTCATTCTATGATTCAGTCACTTCTTCATACCAAAATATAGACCTATGTACATGTGTATATCATACGGCTGTGTTTTCGTGTTTTTTTCCTTTCGTAGTTTTTACTCTGTGGTCCTTTTAGATATGTACAGTTAAATTCATGTTAATTATCGTTAGATTAACACTCTTTATCACATTACACGCTGCTCTGTCGTCTCACTCACTTTCTATTCTTATCACGTTTTTCTTCTTTTAGAATTTGTTTTAATATCAAATGAAACGGATAAATAAATTCTGTTTTACGCCTCTTCGGGACTAAGGCGATGAGATAAAGGAACTTTGGCCGAGACATTGTCGCTCGTAACTGACCGGATGCCCTTCCTGACGCCAACGGAGATCGGGCTTGTGGGCTGAGCTGCACAGTTTCATTTTCACCATTAAACTCCATTTACCATTTAACATCTGTTTCACCGCATTCAGATCTCTAAATCACCCACACTATATTTACAAAACAGTTATACGGGAAATTATATATTTATTTATCTTTTACACACACACACACACACACACACATATATATAGATATATCTCCTTTCTATAAGCGTTATAAATCCCAAACTTTCAACGTGCGAACGGATTCGGACAATTCGTTCATGTTGGCTTCGTCCTGGGCTTCCGTGACGTCATTTCCGTTGTCTTCAGGGACCCCAACTTTGCTGAAGAACCGGGAGTCTGACCCCATTTCTGGCGTTGTTCTTGCGACCTCCATTGTCCTCTCTTCGTTTCCTTCTTCCCTCTCCGTCTCTTCCTTCCTCTTCTCTTCTCTCTTCTCCCGTGGTTCCTCATCTCCGTTGTCGTTCTTCTTCTCTCTCCTTTCCCCTTCCGTCCCGACGTCCCCCTCCGGCGCAAGGCTCTCCGATGAGCTTAGGGATTCCTTAAATCTCACTGTAGGATCGCGTAATCCCTTAAATCCCTCCTCCTTAAATCCCCCTTCCTTAATCCCCCCCTCCTTAATTCCTTCCTTATTAAGTCCTCCTTGATCCTGCTTCGAGGCGACGGACAGGCTCCAGCGAGGACCGCGGGTGTGCGACAGGAGGCGGAAGGAGTGCGAGCGCCGGGGGGTGAGGGGCGCGTTGTGGGCGGCGGCGCAGGAGGAGGAGAAGGAGGAGGAGGAGGAGCAGTCGTCATGAGAGGGAGACATCTGGATGGTGACGGCGCTGACAACGCGTCTCTCGTGCGCTGACATCGGGTCGGAGAAGGTTCCTGACAGCAGCTTGTGGACGGATGCCTGGGGAAGGAGAAGGAAAAAAGTGATAAAGAGGGAGAGAAATGATGAGGAAGAAAGAAGAATAAAAAGAGTGTCTCTACGCGCACATCACTCTCTGGGCGCGACGGACGTCTTCGCGCTGACGTGGAATGCGTTTTCTTATCAGGTGCGGGAAAGGCAGATGCGGGGCTGCGGTGGCGTCCTTTCATGGGCGAACATGCAGACACACACACACACACACACACACACACACACACACACACACACACACATACATACACACACCACGCAACACACCACACAACACACACGCACACCAATCTATCTATATGTCTATCTGTCTGTCTCTCTCTCTCTATCTATCTATTTATCTCTCTCTCTCTCTCTCTCTCTCTCTCTCTCTCCCTCTCTCTCTCTCTCTTTCTATCAAGGTCTTCAAGACTGTGGTGAAGCCGCCTATGCCGCCTGGCATGGAGACGCCCCCACTGACAAAAAGACAAAGAAGGAGAGCCGGAAGTCGCTGAAATGAAAATGTCGCCTCTTTCGCTGCATTTTTCGTTATGATTGACGAGGATGGACAAAGTGAAAAAGGAACACATCCCAGAGACAATGCAGGTTTGGTGACAAGGCTAGGGGGGCGAGACAGAGGTGGTTCGGGCACGTCAAGAGATGGGACGAGGAATGCGCGGGGAAGAGGAGCTCGGAATGGAACTGCCGGTGGAGGGAGAGAGG